TGTAATTAATTCATTATTAATAATTAATTTAATTCATGTTCCTGTTCCTGCCAACTGATGTATGTATCACATGACTTTGAATCGTGCTCCAAAGCCTCGATTTGAATCAAAAGATTTGTAAAACGGCCTCCTAAACTCCGATTTGAAGAATATTATGCGCTTGAATCAAACGATTCGTGATTCGCGTTCCGATTCCAAAGCAACAATTTTCGTAAAGGTTTCGAAGGACGGAAATTGGTTTCGTGAGTCAGAACTCGTCTTATTTGCGTGTCATCCACAGTCTATGGTGTCATCATGAGTAATATATGTATATTTTTCTACTAAAGGACCGTTCACACCAAGAACGATATCTAAAGCGCGCGCTGCCGTAATGTTGTCTGCCGCTTGAAATGCGCGAGGTCTTTAAAGTAAGATTATGATAGGCTGTCAATGTTTTTTATTGTTCATCAGCCGTCTCTCCGTTTAGTTATCGTTATAGTTGTGGTGTTAAACCATTTTAAAACGATTTTTTTGTAACATTTATCGTTAAAGCTGTCGTCTTGGTGTGAACAGGCTTTTTAACGTTTAACGTAATATAAACGTTTACGGATGCTTGGGTTTTTGCTTGTGGTGAACACGTCAGATATGAAAAAAAAAAAAAAAAAAATCAGGCAATATCTGTTAATATTTATCCTGATGGTCCTTGTTCCATATTCACCTAACGTTACTATGATTCAACCAGGCCACACAGACTCTGGTGAGTTGATTGATTGAGTTTCATCATTCTTTTAAGTATCTATTTTCTGTCAACTTTGTCACACAAATTGTAATGAAGTTATTTGGGACTTTAAAGTAATTTCTTATTTTAAGTAGGTAGCCTACAATAGCAGCAGCAACCCAATAACAATAAAATGACTGCTGTTTTTAAAGGGATAGTTCACCCAAAAATTAAAATTCTGTCATCAGCAGCAATGTGTCCTTACCCCTTTTTTATGCGCATTTGGGGATATCGCATAAAAAATGCTGGATAGAAACGACAAGATGCGCATAAATTCTAAAAATGTGCATAAAAAAAATGTATTCGATTAGAAACGTGTTTAAACTAGCTGGGTTTCCATCCAAACGAGAAGTAAATCTTTTCAATGTTCGCACAAATTTTTTTTTAATTCATCAAGTTGTTTGAGCGGATGACAGCGGTATTGTTAACCTACAATAAATAAAACACAATCTGCGGAAACAGACGATTAGTCACGGGTTTAAAGTAAGCTACGTCCGAATTTATTAGACAAATGTATTTCCGCACGAGGCTAGCGCGAAGGTGCGCGCGGCAAAAATGATGCGTTCGGTGCGCAAGACCCCATTTAGCTTGGCTGTGTGCACGGCTTTTTTTGTAACAGCGCGCGGCGCCGCGTCCGAGGATGAACGACTTCAAGCCGAATCTGCCCGAGCATGTACGTCTCACCGCACCGGCACCCAGTTTGCGTGTTTAAATTGCAGTTCATTGCAAAGGTTTTTTTTTGTTAAGGTTTTGTTTACCGTGTGTGATTTATTTAATGGAAAGCACATTCACTTCTAGTTGTCTTGCTGTTAATTTTAAATAAACGTAGAGCAAGTAGCTGATCAGTGTCTGCTCGTTTATTCAAACTAAGTTGCTCTATTGACCTTATGTAGCCACGCCCCTTTTCAGCGCTGAGCTCATTGTCTTTTGACTTCCGGTCTGTATTTTCACAGCGATCTTGCCTAGTTATGAATGAACGGCTCGTTAAAAAAACTTCCCAAGGTCCATTTGTTAAGACATATGCTTTACAATGCTTATCATAAACATTACAATGCTCATGATAACTTTCGTTAACTCTACAATAAGTAAATCAACTTCACCAGCTAATTACTCCTGGACAGCGATGCCATAGAAATATACAGAGCAACCGCAAAAACGGAATTTCAAAGACAACATTCTAAAGATGGCGGCGCCCTCGTTTCTCTGGTGCATAAGGTCTATAACAGACGAACGTCGCTCTGCATACGTCATCTCCTTCATCGCTCTGATTGGTTTTAGGTCTATCCAATTGCGCCCAGAGGCATTTGAGCTACGTCCGTTGGTGACGCCCCTTTGGAAATGATTTGTCTATGAACTTAGCTTTGCCTTCAACTGAGAATGGTCTGGTTTTAACCAGGCTAATTTTTTTTCTAAATTTGGCGTTTCCAGGGTGATGGAAACAGCTACATTTACCGAATAAATTCCTTGATGCGCATCAAAAAATCACATGACTGCGCGACGGGACGACATAACTGGACTAACTAGCAGACCGATCTTTTTTTGCTCAGTATCTTCCTCCAAAATGCTTTTATTGTGTTTCTGAGACGCAAATAATTTATTATATACGAAAATTATTATATACAGTGGTTTCTCCTACTTCTATATTTAGTGCCAGTTTATCAGAAAGTGACGATTTTGTTCTCTTTGACTCAGTGGATGGTAATGCTGCTTTATTCGCAAATGTTTTATGCAATATTCCCATTTTTTTGCGCATACGTTAAATTCACAACTTCACAACTCACCCGGCCTTAAGTTGTTCCAAACCTATGAATTTCTTTCTTCTGCTAAACACAAAAGAAGATATTTTGAAGAATGTCTGTAACCAAACAGTTTATGGGCCCCATTGACTTGCATAGTATTATTTGTTTTCCCCATATGGAAGTCAATGGGGTCCATCAACTGTTTGGTTACCCATATTCTTCAAAAATATATTTCTTTTTGGATGAACTATCCCTTTAATACGAATGTGATACAGCAATCATATTGTGCATTTCAACATCTTAAGCAGAAAAAAAAAAAGTAAAACTAAGCCCAAGAATGTACAAAAACAAAATGTCTGTGACAAGCCAGCATTGTAATTCTTTGGCACAGAACCTTTTATTCCTGCACTTTTGTGTGTAGCTTGTTGTTGTAGCTCCTGTGTGTCTGTTCAAGGCCTCTAATGAGTCTCAGTTGATCAGGACATTTTGTGTTCACTCACACAATTACAGGGCGAATGCCAACAACTTCTCTCTCTCTCTCTCTCTCCCTCTCTCTCTCTCCCTCTCTCTCTCCCTGTAATAAAGCGAAAAGGTCTTACTCAGCTGTTGGATGTTGTTATGAATTTGCAAGCTACACTGCTTGCTGCCTGGCAGAGAGAGAGCGAGAGAGCAGAAAAGGCAAAGATTGAAAACAGACCCTCATACTTTGTATATGTGTATGCGTGAGCTCTCCGTACCGTATGCTGCTATTGACACACCTTCCCTCCACCAAAACCGCACTTTATTCCATTGCATTTTCCTTTCTTTTTTTTTGGGCTTGAGTGCCGTCTGCACAGAGTGCTTTTCTGCACTGAAAAGAACTTTCTCTCCTCTTTTTGTTTCTTCTCCTTTTCTTCTCTTCAGCAGGGCAGTTCATTGTGAGAGTTGCCAAAATCCATCTCATTTCCCTGCGGCTCGTGTTTTCAGCGAAACAGAAACGGGCGACTGTTGCTGAGGAGTTCTGGCTGGGCTCGTGTTGTTGTGTTTCCTCAGGTCTACTAAACCTCTGGAAGAAAGACCCCTTCTCCACACGGTACGCTGGCTTTGTTTTCAGGAAAATGTCATTGCTCACAGGTGGCTCTTTTATAGCTCATGACCTACTGTTCAAAAGTTTTTAAAGAAAATGATACTTTTATTCAGCAAGTACTCATTAAATTGATCAAAAGTGACAGTAGAGAAATTTATAATGTTTCGAAAGATTTAGGGCTGTGAAAAGATTAATCGCATCCAAAATAAAAGTTTGTGTTTACGTAATATATGTGTGTGTACTGTGTATAATTATTTTGTGTACATAAATACACACACATATAAATATTTGCAATGTATATACTGTATATATTTATAAATATAAATATTTCATATATAACACATTTATTTCACACATTTTTCTTAAATGTATACATGCATGTGTGAGTATTTATATATACAAAATAATTATTCACAGTACACACACATATATTATGTAAACACAAACTTTTATTTTGGATGCGATTAATCTTTTCACAGCCCTAAAAAGATTTCAGTTTCAAATAAATGCTTTTCTTATGTCCGTTCAATTCCTCAAAAGAAAATACATCACAATTTCTGCAAAAATATGAACTGTTTTCAACACTGATAATAATCAGAAACGTTCCTTGAGCAGCAAATCATCATATTAGAATGATTTCTGAAGGATCATGTGACACTGAAGACTGGAATAATGATGACGAAAATTCAGCTTTGATCACAGGAATAAATTATATTTTAAAATATATTCTGATAGAAAACATTTATTTTGAATTGCAATAATATTTTACTGTATTTTTGATCAAATAAATGGAGCCTTGGTGAGCATAGTCTGCTTTCAAAAACATAAAAACAAATCTATCAGACCCCAAACTTTTGAACAGGAGTGTAATGGTGTTCTCAGTTACTCACTTAAGTAAATAAAGTAAAAAATAAAGATGTTTCTCTTAAAACAGACCCAGAATGAACCACTACTCATCATCCAGTAAGCAATAAAACGAATGTGGAGAGCAGGTCAGATCATTCAATGCAGATTGCAAATCTGGGCACAGTTTGAGACATTGTTGAGATTCTTCTAAAAAGAAGAGACACGTGTGAGATTATTGTGGTCTTTCTCAGAAGAAACTTGAGACTTAAGCTGAACTCTCTCTTTGCAGAAATAGTCAAGACATTAAAGAGATCTCATCTGTGACTTTTCTGTTATTAACTGCATTAGTCTGTGGTACCTTTGCAGGGATGTTGGTTTTACTAGCGAGTGAGTGAACCCTGCTGTGGTCATTTGACTAAATAAACAGATCTGCTGCCCAACCTCCTCTCCGTCTGGGACCCTGGAGACCGAAGCTTTAGCTCCATCCCTCCCTCACGCAGCTGTATGAGAGACCACTACAAAACGACACGCGTCGAGAGAGAGACGAGGAGAGGCATACAGCGAGAAGTTAGCAGCAACAGAGGCTTTTCCTAGACATGCTTTTGATCTGACGTCCAGGCGTCTGCGCTGCTAAAGGTGAGAGATGGGAGTGGATTTAACTGTCGTTTTCTTTCCATTCGGTCGGGTTTTACTCCATGAGGTTTTGGAAAAACGCTGGTTTGATGTATGCCAGTGAAAAGCAAAGCTGTAAAAGAAGCTGGTCAGCAGAATTGTGATATTTTCCAGAAGTTACTGTAGATGGTTGACGATTATAGACTTTGTTTTGAGGACATTCGTAACCCTCTCACGTTATTGAAGGGTAATGCTTTCATCCAGATGTGGACGATGATGATAGATGGCCATTAGAGGGCTTGTGAGATTGATCTCATCTGAAAGATTCTCCGTGAGACTTTTTCTGCTTTTGTTTGGGAAAGGCCAATTCTGCCGTTTGTTTGTGTGTTAAACACTTTGCATTTGAACGAGAATGTGCTGAGTTCAGCGAGAGCAAACAAATCTGTGTTTTACAGCCTGCATTTACACACGGTCGTCAACATCGGTGGGACTTTAGATGTTTATTTTGGTTTGTGAGGTAGTGTTGTCCTCTGTGTGTGTTGAAGTGCGGTACGGATGGTTTATTTGAACGCTTCTGCTGTCTTTGAAACTCTGTCTTTTCTCGGCAGTGTTTGTGTGTCGTATAAGAGCATTTAAAGGCCGGCTGCATACCAGAATCTAGGTGGTGTTTATATTCATGACTTTTAGCATATGCTGCTTACAAACATTTTGATAAAAACCTAAAGCAAATGTCACATTGTTTAGATAATTATGATGAGCCTTTGTCCCCAAATAAGCTCTAAAAGTGGATGGAAAGCTCTTTATTTTTGTTTGATCGTAAACAGATAGATGGATATACTGCATGAATGCACAGACAAACTCTCTCTCTATATATATCATATTATATTATATCAGTTACTCTCTGCATACATTCATCCATCCAGGATATTTATAGCTGTAATGCCATCTAGATATATAGGCAGAATTGTAAAAATAGCATTGAAATATGCACAGTGTTTACAAAAAATTATTTTTCACTGCAACCTAAACATGTGTAAAAGTCAGAGCCAGCTGTAGTTCATTGGCACTGACGGTTATCTTAAGCGTAGGTCTTTGTATATATTTCGACCAGTCTGGGCTGTAAGTCACACAGATGTTCAACAGCTGATCTCAGTTTCCAAAGCTCTCGTATGCAAATGCGCTGGTGCAGAACCTTCATGGCACGGCGTCCTAGAAAGTCCCATTACTCATGCGGTTCTCATTCAACTCATGATGAGTTTCTGTCCAGTTCTTCTAGAACATGCTGTTATTAGTCACGCGTGTGAGTAAGACATGAGTGTATGCGATATCTGGTGCGATAGGACTGTGAAATCGAGTTGTTGACGTTGGGACGGAAGGATCGCTCTATGACTGCTGCGTCACCAGCTGTTTCCTGACCCCCCCTAATCTGGGCCGCATACCAGTCCCATGAAAAATGTGCTCCCCATTAGCAGCGGATGAGTGGAGCTCGTGAACAGGGTCAGGCAGAACCGCAAAGACCCCCGTGTGCCGACATGATCTGCTGCGCTTGAGTCACGGAACATACAAAACACTTCAGGAAGTACATCTTTGAGAGCTCGGTTCCTTCCTAGGCACAACGCAGAACACCATTACTGATAAACTAGACAGCAGATCAACTATATATGCCTCTAGCTAATAGCTCATCTTTGATAGGCTTTTAAATGTTTAACAATTCATTCATTAACTTCAATGCTATTATTTAATTCTGAATTTTGCACTTCATTTAATTGGCTTTGCACAATGACAAAGTTGAACGATCTAAAAAAAATATATTATCCATTATATTAAACTATTATATTAAACTAATATAATCATTCATTAGGTCATTCGTTAGGGCATTCATTCATTCATTCATTTATTGGGTCATTCATTCTTTAATTAGGTAATTCATTCGTTCATTCATTGGGCCATTCATTCATTAGGTAATTCGTTCGATCATTAATTCATTAATTCATTGGGTAATTCATTCATTCTTTAATTAGGTAATTCATTCGTTCATTCATTAGGTCATTCATTCATCTGTTCAATTATTAGGTCATTCATTCATTCATTAGGTCATTCATTAGGTAATTCATTAGGTCATTCATTTGTTAGGTCATTCATTCATCCGTTCAATTATGAGGTCATTCATTCATTCATTCATTCGTTCAATTATTAGGTCATTCATTCATTTATTAAGTCATTCATTCATTGGGTCATTCGTTCGATCATTAATTAATTAATTCATTGGGTAATTCATTCATTCTTTAATTAGGTAATTCATTCGTTCATTCATTAGGTAATTCATTAGGTCATTCATTCATTCGTTCAATTATGAGGTCATTCATTCATTCGTTCAATTATTAGGTCATTCATTCATTCATTCGTTCGTTCAATTATTAGGTCATTCATTCATTCGTTCAATTATGAGGTCATTCATTCATTCGTTCAATTATTAGGTCATTCATTCATTTATTAAGTCATTCATTCATTGGGTCATTCGTTCGATCATTAATTAATTAATTCATTGGGTAATTCATTCATTCTTTAATTAGGTAATTCATTCGTTCATTCATTAGGTAATTCATTAGGTCATTCATTCATTCGTTCAATTATGAGGTCATTCATTCATTCGTTCAATTATTAGGTCATTCATTCATTCATTCATTCGTTCGTTCAATTATTAGGTCATTCATTCATTCGTTCAATTATGAGGTCATTCATTCATTCGTTCAATTATTAGGTCATTCATTCATTCATTCGTTCAATTATTAGGTCATTCTTTCATTCATTCATTCGTTCAATTATGAGGTCATTCATTCATTCATTCGTTCAATTTTTAGGTCATTCATTCATTCATTCGTTCAATTATTAGGTCATTCATTCATTCGTTCAATTATTAGGTCATTCATTCATTCGTTCAATTATTAGGTCATTCATTCATTCATTAGGTCATTCATTAGGTCATTCATTAGGTCATTCATTGGGTCATTCATTCATTCATTGGGTCATTCATTCATTAGGTAATTCGTTCGATCATTAATTCATTCATTCATTGGGTAATTCATTAATTCTTTAATTAGGTAATTCATTCGTTCGTTCATTCATTCATTCGTTCAATTATGAGGTCATTCATTCATTCATTAGGTCAATTATTAGGTCATTCATTCATTCATTCGTTCAATTATGAGGTCATTCATTCATTCATTCGTTCAATTATTAGGTCATTCATTCATTCATTAGGTCATTCATTCATTCATTAGGTCATTCATTCATTCATTAGGTCATTCATTAGGTCATTCATTGGGTCATTCATTGGGTCATTCATTCATTCATTGGGTCATTCATTCATCAGGTAATTCGTTCGATTATTAATTCATGCATCCATTGGGTAATTCATTTATTCTTTAATTAGGTAATTCATTAGGTCATTCATTAATTCGTCCAATTATTAGGTCATTCATTCATTAGGTCATTCATTGAGTTCTAATTAAAAAAGTTAATTTTAAAAACATCCATCCTTCCATCCTTCTTTCTCTTGAACTATAAGTATATCAATATCCAATTTACCAATATCATCATGGTAAAAACTATTTCATGGTTTTCCATTTTATTTCCTTGCTAATTGTCCAAAAATCAAGATATTAGAATGGTACCATGTCCTAAAAACTATAGTATTACCATGGTAAATGCCCATAAAAAAAAAAAAATTAAGATATTACCGTGGCAAATGGCAAAGAAACATTGGTATAATTCAGATTTTAGTCTCCTTTGGCACTCGAACAGAAGTTTTTCTTCTTTCATCAGGGTGAAGTTCCTTCACTCGTTCTCTCAAGTGTCTGTTTAATCTGCCGTATCCTGCGGTTAATGACCACTAAGATTACGGCACGCAGAAATAACAATGATGACCGACAGCTATCACTATTAAGAATGCAGAAAGAAAGACAGATGATGCTATCTTCATCAGTCTAAATGAGCTGCATTTCTGTCTCTCTGCACTCAGTCCAAGTCAAACAGAGACACAGGGAGACAGTGTTGGGTTCGACTAGGAAAACTGGCTTAGCAGACCAAAGAAAATATGAACAGACTTTCTTTAGATAACCAGCTCTCTTTAAGAAAAACAAGAACACTGTATGTGTGTTTGTGTGTGTGTTTGGATTGGCATGCATGTGTGTTTCATGCATGACTGTTTGTGTTGTGTTTTAGTCATTTCACAGCAATGTTTTTCTGTTTCCATGTCCACTTTTTCTGTTTCCAAGACCACTTTTTGCATATTTCTATGCAAATGCTTGAAGCTACACAAGTTTGATTTCATGCATTGCTACATTAATAAATGTGTCTGACCAAGTTGCATTGTATTGAATTCTCAGTGTTGCCACAAGGAGCATTATAGATGCGTGTAAACTTCTACGGTCAGTTTACAAACTACTACAGGCATGGCAAAGTTCGTTAAAGTTAGTTAAACCGTTGATGTGTTTATATCTACGTATCTTCCGGAATAATAACACATTCAGTTTAAATCCACAGGAAACATATCAGCCCCTTGAGTTCCAAAGTTTTCTACTGTGACAATAATGCAATATCTATCTTTATATCCAATACATTTATATAGCAAATTAATTGTGCCAATATTTGAGATGGTGTCCAATGAGATCGGTCCGCTGGTTAGTCCAGTTATCAATCACATCATCTGTGTGAGTTTTCGATTTAAATGTGTTTCCATCATAGTTTAAGTAAAAACTTTCTTACCAAAAAAAAAGAATAAATTATCCTCCCCATACCATACTTTTTTTTTAAATTCACATTTTAAGATTTTATGTACATCTTGGCATTTCCATCTAGTTTTTTTTAATATGTAAAAATAAATATGTGGATGGAAACATAGCTAATAAGGCACATTAAGGGTCAGATTTACTACAGCGCAATCCCAAAAAAGCGCCGATGGGAGTGGAAAGTTCTGCTCGTGATCTACTGACGACTCACATTACAGAACACAGACGCAGCGG